CTGATAATTTTAGAGGTTTCTAATGTGATGTCGTAAATAAACACATTTTTTGCGCTTACATTGCAAACGCTGGCTGAACCCTACGAGATAGATCAAAATAATGTACTACAATATTGTACATCTTAAAAGGGTCTACAAAAAAGTCCGGGATGGTATATGTCTATCTCTTAGGGATAACCCACAATAACCATTTTTATCCTTTACTTTTTATGAGAAATAATGACTCATTTACGAAGCGATTGTAGGTAATACAGTACTAATTCTTATCCAATTAAGTACCTTAAATACATTGTACATTTAATATATGTAGATCAATATGACCCTATACAGCATGTAATTTAAATGAATATTTTCGAAGATTTTACAGATTTAAAATGCAGGGATATAGCGGTTGCGGCGGTACCGGTCGGGAGGCCGGTTTGTATTGTCTAATGTCACAAAAACTGTGAATGTTGTATATAAAGACATTCTCTAGTATATTTAGTATGTTGAGGGGGTATCTTTTGAAGATTTCCTCTTTTCGATAATAATCTAAACGAAACAAAAATATAGTTAGTATCAGCATTGCACCCGTGCGAAGCAGGGGCGGGTCACTAACATATTATAAAACTAATTTACATTTCACGTTACAAAAGCAATGGTTATTATTAACGAGTAATTGAAAGAAATCACACTAATCATTACGCTTTCTTAAGAGTTTGCAAAAATAAAATGGTTAATGAAAAATATTTCCACTACTCATTACAAAAGTACTTTTTTTACATTAAGTATTGATATCAGCCTCTCATATGAAACCGAATTTAAGGAGGTCTGAGCCAGATTTTGGGGATTCTGCAAGTTCCCGTAGGTACAAAACGACCGTAACATACAGACTTACAAAGATGGTCTGTCACTTAGGAACGGAACCCTTAAACGTACAACAAAATAATCTTTTTTTCGACTGGCCAATAAAGGAACAACAAACAAAACAACTTACTGGACCTTTAAAAATGTAACCGGCCTCGTCTGCCAATTCTTTTACCATTTCCAACCCCCCAACTGCACGAACCACAACTTCCTCGTTATGAAAATTCGCAAAAATCGACGGTGCAAGAAAAAGCAAAAAGCATGCCAAAAAAGGCATTGTTTTTGTTTCGTATGCTTTGTAGAGAATAAATTGCAAGTGAAAAATACATTCCGCTTTAAATATAACCCCCGCTTTGTCCCGTTACCCTATCAATACCGATTGGAGCTTTATCAAGAGGATAAAGGAGATAAAAGAGCATTAGAAAGACGTAGTTTCAATTAGTTGCGTTTGCAAATAAACAAAGATTAACGATGATCTTGCTACATTCCCGAACTCCTGCTGGGGATGAATGGAAAATAGATTTAATTGATAATGCCCTATCATGGCTAAATAATAATGTCAAAGATAGATACTTTAATTAAAATTATATAAATAATAAATANATATGGCCCTTTAGAGCATGTAATTTAAATGAATATTTTCGAAGATTTTACAGATTTAAAATGCAGGGATATAGCGGTTGCGGCGGTACCGGTCGGGAGGCCGGTTTGTATTGTCTAATGTCAAAAAAACTGTGAATGTTGTATATAAAGACATTCTCTAGTATATTTAGTATGTTGAGGGGGTATCTTTTGAAGATTTCCTCTTTTCGATAATAATCTAAACGAAACAAAAATATAGTTAGTATCAGCATTGCACCCGTGCGAAGCAGGGGCGGGTCACTAACATATTATAAAACTAATTTACATTTCACGTTACAAAAGCAATGGTTAATGTAAATAATTTACATTATCAATTACCTTATTAACGAGTAATTGAAAGAAATCACACTAATCATTACGCTTTCTTAAGAGTTTGCAAAAATAAAATGGTTAATGAAAAATATTTCCACTACTCATTACAAAAGTACTTTTTTTACATTAAGTATTGATATCAGCCTCTCATATGAAACCGAATTTAAGGAGGTCTGAGCCAGATTTTGGGGATTCTGCAAGTTCCCGTAGGTACAAAACGACCGTAACATACAGACTTACAAAGATGGTCTGTCACTTAGGAACGGAACCCTTAAACGTACAACAAAATAATCTTTTTTTCGACTGGCCAATAAAGGAACAACAAACAAAACAACTTACTGGACCTTTAAAAATGTAACCGGCCTCGTCTGCCAATTCTTTTACCATTTCCAACCCCCCAACTGCACGAACCACAACTTCCTCGTTATGAAAATTCGCAAAAATCGACGGTGCAAGAAAAAGCAAAAAGCATGCCAAAAAAGGCATTGTTTTTGTTTCGTATGCTTTGTAGAGAATAAATTGCAAGTGAAAAATACATTCCGCTTTAAATATAACCCCCGCTTTGTCCCGTTACCCTATCAATACCGATTGGAGCTTTATCAAGAGGATAAAGGAGATAAAAGAGCATTAGAAAGACGTAGTTTCAATTAGTTGCGTTTGCAAATAAACAAAGATTAACGATGATCTTGCTACATTCCCGAACTCCTGCTGGGGATGAATGGAAAATAGATTTAATTGATAATGCCCTATCATGGCTAAATAATAATGTCAAAGATAGATACTTTAATTAAAATTATATAAATAATAAATAGAGGAAATAAAAATCCTCTTCCTTCAACTTCAGACAAAATAAAAAATTGCGCCTTCCCCTGCAATTAATTATTAGAGGATCATCCAAGGAATATTTTTATGTTTGGTTTTGCTCGTTAAACAATAAAATTACATTTATAGATAATTGTTAAAAAATAAAGAAATTTACTTACCGTTGAAGAAATCACCCCCTCTCCCACTTGGCAGTTCCTCCTTTGGTGACTAGAAAGAAAGAAAATTTCCTTTAAACAATAATTTTGAAAAGAAAAGGACTATGTATATGAAAACATTCTCAAACATCCAATGAAACTAACTTCGGTTGTACGACTATCAAGAAATATTTCTCTTTGTTGCCTTTGTTATTAATATTAAATATAATTCAAAATCTACTTGTTTGTATATGTTAATATGAAATTTAAACGTAATGAAATTACAAACCTTTCTTTAAATAACACACATAATCAATAATACGCGAGGCAAAAACTAAAAGACATTCATTTATTCCAATTGACTTAATTTGTTTAAATCTAATCTATGGTTTAAATGTTGGGACATAGATTCACAACAAACGCTCGCCCCGCCTACACGCTATTTTATTCACAAAAGCGAAAAATGGTCTCTACCCGCACAACACTTCTGTTAATAAGGTTGCCTCCTCATGCTCCCATTTAAAACTTAAAAATATAAATTTTAAAAATTACATATATTAAAGAAACGAGAAACAATTTTGCATTATTCATTAATAAAATCATCTTAATTAATATGTTTTTAATTTTCAAAAACATAAAAAAAGTATGTAATGTAATTTTGTAAATGGATTTTACAAACAACTTTTCTATTACCGTTTAGGTTTGATTAATTTTTATGTAAAACATGCTACAAACAAAATTAAAACAATTTTAGGAAAAATGTTAATTATATAGCCTGGCTAAGACTCTGGCCCTTATCACTATAATATAAGAAACAACTATTGCGTACCGTAGGCCACCTTATGCTGTAAATAAATGATTAAATATGTACGTACGTACAAATATTTAAAATCATGTAATCAAATCAACTAATATTGATAAAATTTAATTAACCCAGACCATATGCTTTTTCCATTAAAGTATGCCAAACAAACTATGCATGACATCCTCTTGTAATTCATTAATAGATTATGGTTTATTGATTCGTTATCAGTATTCCAATTATTTATGGTTACATTTATTAACTGTTTAACAGCTTCTATAAATGTTCTCGAATTTTCTTAGATTTCGACGCGAGGATGAACAAAATGTTAACCAAGACGTAAGTTGAGAGGACAATGACCAGGGGCACCATTACGTCTTTTTCAGTTCAGTTTATACGAAAGAAAGAAATTTCGTTAGTGTTGTCTTTTCCTACCGTAACTTCAGAATATTAACCTTAATCGAAGGGTATAGCAGGAAAATTTTAGGATAATGCCTAGTTCCTTTCCATATACCTGTTTTTAATTAGGGTTAAAATTTTCGATATGTCGAATTCCCTCCTAATTATACATCAATTGCCTGCAAACGGCGGCGGATGACCTTGAGTGCTAATTGCTACTATAAAGTCATAAAGAATTGTTTAAATAATACAGCCTCACATCATATATTAATCTTAATATTATTCATATATTATAGACACCACAATAACAATAATAATTTTATCAGACTACCCTTCTATTGGTCAAATNAAAAATATAAATTTTAAAAATTACATATATTAAAGAAACGAGAAACAATTTTGCATTATTCATTAATAAAATCATCTTAATTAATATGTTTTTAATTTTCAAAAACATAAAAAAAGTATGTAATGTAATTTTGTAAATGGATTTTACAAACAACTTTTCTATTACCGTTTAGGTTTGATTAATTTTTATGTAAAACATGCTACAAACAAAATTAAAACAATTTTAGGAAAAATGTTAATTATATAGCCTGGCTAAGACTCTGGCCCTTATCACTATAATATAAGAAACAACTATTGCGTACCGTAGGCCACCTTATGCTGTAAATAAATGATTAAATATGTACGTACGTACAAATATTTAAAATCATGTAATCAAATCAACTAATATTGATAAAATTTAATTAACCCAGACCATATGCTTTTTCCATTAAAGTATGCCAAACAAACTATGCATGACATCCTCTTGTAATTCATTAATAGATTATGGTTTATTGATTCGTTATCAGTATTCCAATTATTTATGGTTACATTTATTAACTGTTTAACAGCAATAGAGACTGCGAAAATATTTAGTTTCCGCGATAAGGGGAAGTTTTATGAACAATTTAGGTTTTTGATATGCTCAACTTCATGTTTAAGTTTAATTTAATTCTTTTAATAACCAAATGGAAGACTACATAGAAAACGAAAACTCCTACCTATAATTATTTATTTACTGAAAAAACAATATTTTGTCTTCTTAGCAAAATAGTATAAATAAACTTTATACATAATATTGAAAATCATGAAATACGTACAAAATAAAAGAAAAAATATTAAATACTGAAAAAATCTGATATCAATTTTGCTCAAGAAATAGTAGCTATTAAATAGTACAGCGTTAAATTTAGAGGAACTCTAGTGATAAGATTTTGCCTGTCCGTGTGCTAAATATTAATAAAAATAATTCACATTACTCATTACTAAAGCAATGGTTAATGTAAATAAGTTACATCATACATTATTTTGTTTAAAGTTACTACATAGACGCTGCGCTTTCCTGTTTGTAGTTTTATTTGTAGATAATTGTTAAAAAATAAAAAAATCACTTACTGTTGAAGATATCACCCCCTCTCCCACTTGGCAGGCCTTCCTTTGGTGGCTAGAAAGAAAGAAAATTTCCTTTAGACAATACTTTAACATTTTGATGTTCCTGGTTTATATAAAGGACTTAATAAAAACATTGTCAAACATCCAATGAAACTAACTTCAGTTATAAGACTATCAATAAAAATCAATCAAGAAATATTGTTCTTTGTTGCCTTTGCTATCAATATTAAATATAGTTCAAAATGTACCTACTTGTTTATATAAATTGATGTAGCTATATTTTATAAGTATCAGTTTTTTAAAGAATTTTCAAACCTTAAGTATATAACATAATCAATAATACGTAAGACAAAAAATAAAAGACTTTCTTTTGCCTTAATTTGTTTAAATCCAACGTATGGTTTAAATGTTGGGATAGATCAGATTTACAATAAACGCTCTGCACCGCCTACCCATTATTTTATTCTCAAAAGTGAAAAATGGTATCTCTACCCGCATAACACATCTGTTAATATGGTTATCTACTCATACCCAAATTTAAAACTTGAAAATGTAAAATTTAAAAATTACTTATATATTTAAGAAAGAAGAAACAATGTTGCATTTTTAATTAATAAAAACATCCTAATTAATATGTTTTTGATTTTTAAAGACTTACAAATAATTATGTTTGTAATGTAATTTTGTAAATGTATATTACAAACAACTTTTCTATTATTGAATTCCCTGTTATCATATTAGAATTACATATCACATTTACAAATACACATTGGCGTGGAAAAAAATAAATTATTTACTAAATACTTGCTTATTAAATGAAGAAGCAGTATTCCTACATTTTAATTAAAAAAATAAATCAAAACAATTTATATTTAGC